TCAATATAAATCCATCTGCTCAAGTCTTTCGTTTGTTCCTCTCACATTTTCTTTTTCAGAATTTTCTCTCTCTCTATTTTTTTCCCAAAAGAAAAAAGAACACAAAAATTCTAAAATTTGAACCGATATTTGTACATATGGCCGCCGATGTGAGTTCTTTGATGAGAGTGATGAACGGCGGAGATTCGAACGAATCAGCGACGGCGACGAAATCGACGTCTCCGATCACTCGGGACCTGCTTGGCGGGTGTTGTACCCTCGACTCCAAGGAGTTGGACCTCGATTTGCAGGTACCTTGTGGCTGGGAAAAACGCCTCGATTTGAAGGTACAATAATTTCCCACTTTTTTTTCCTTTAATTTTTATTCGAGTAACAATGAAACATCATTTGAATTTTTCAATATTTTGGTGTTTATTGTTTCAATAATACGATCCGAATTGTTGGGGCCTTGTGTGTGTGTGTGTTTTGTTTTGTAATTGAAATTAACAATTGTCTGGCTTGAATTTTACTATTTATGTTCTTTATTTTCTTGATTCAACTCTGTTCATGCGTGGTCATTTAATCAGAATTTTCAATTTACTTTCCCAAATTCTATAATTATTTGCAATTATTATTGAGATTTTATTGTGATGCATAATTATTTATGAAGCTTTGTCGTTATAGCAACTAGTTGAGTTGTATCAATTAATGATTTTTGTTTCTATGTGTGTCTCGTGTTCGTGTAGAGTCCCTCTTGTCTTTTGGCGACTTGTTTCTCATGTTACGTTATCCCTTGTCCCAAAAACCTAAATAAATTAATCAATGTCACAACACTAATTAAAAAAAAAAAAACTTATTTAATTAAAAGAAATACATGCACATTACTAAATTAGTTAATGTACACAATTATAATAAGCTCATTCAATTAATAAAAAAAGGGTACACGCATAGTCTTCTAATTGGCGAAAGTCAGCTCCTTATAAAAAAGTCAACCCTGTAACCTGCATTTACAGATTACCCCTCATATTATTCCCACTGTTTGACAAAACAAACAAAAAAAAAAAAGAAATGATCAAAATTCGATTTGATTACTAAATTATTTATGGCTATATCCAGTCAGGAAAAGTCTATCTCCAGAGATGCAACTCGTCCAACTCATCATCCTCCACGTCAGACCCAAAACCCCGGCCGCCAGCTGTCCCCTCCAAATTCCAAGACCTCAATTTCCCGCCCACGTCATCAAAACCCACCACACTTGCGCTTTTCGATGACGCCAGCTTGGACTTGAAGCTCGTGGCCCCACCACTCTCCGCCACGTCAGCATCGAACTACCAAAGCGTGTGCACGCTCGACAAAGTTAAGTCCGCGCTCGAGAGGGCCGAGAAGGAGACTTTTGTTAGGAAGCGCTCAATTTCTATGTCGAAGTCAAAGTCAAAGTCAACTTCTCCTACTCGGTCAACCTCATCATCGTCCGTTGATCTCGAACGTGATGATGAGGAGAGATCGACGGCCTCGATTGCGGCAGGATGTCCCGGTTGCTTGCTTTACGTGTTGATCTCGAGAGGAAACCCTAAGTGCCCGAGATGCAATAACGAGGTGCCATTGCCGGGTTCGGTTAAGAAGCCGAAAATCGATCTTAATATGTCTATTTGAATTTTGAGGGTTTGGGGGTAGGGGAGGAACAATTAATT